TACCACCTTTTTTGTGATTCATCACCCTCCTTCACATCCCTCCTTACCTACTGTGAATTACATGGTCCGCTATTAAAATTACCCCCTTGCAACGCCCCTTCATCCTCTTGCTCTTCTCAGACTCCATTATTCTTCTCTGGTAAAATTCCAACCCTAGTTAAGCCCTGCTGTCCACTGACTCTGCGCCTACACCCTTGCCGTTAGTCACTGCCAGAGAAAAGCATTCAAACATGGCCACTGACTCACTTCATATTTGTGATGACAAATTTCATCCACGGCAGACACTCCTAGACAGCTCCTTAGTAGCTTTGCATCTGCTACACTGAGACTGCCTCAGGATGTTTCTTTATTCAAATTTCCTGCATGCCTGTAAACATTCTCAGCTGATGGTCATACCTCATACTTCACTGAGAAGCTAGATGCAGTTGGTCATAAACAACTTTATCTTTCCACCACCAAATCCACCAATCGACCTGCATCTGGACCCACCTACTTTGTAATGATCCCATTAGAAGCAAAGCAGCCTACTGGATCCTATACCTTCAAGTCTATTCAAGGAATTCTGACCTCCCTTGTCCCCGTTCTGTAACATACAGTTTTCTCTCTTAGGCTACTGGAGTACTCACATTAACGGGTTAGTATCACCTATCTTAAAAATTAAAAACTCCCTAGGTAGGTGGCCCTCCAAGTTTCTGTACCACTACCGCAAAATTACTCCAGAGTTGTCCACACACTTTCTCTGCACCTGTTCTGTTCTCAAGCTACTCCAGTGTGGTTTCCATCCCCAACACGTATTCAAACAGCTCTTATCAAGATCACCAAGAACATTTTGCCAAATCCAGTTCTCTGACTTGTGGGTTGATGTGTGCTCCCCTAAAAGATCTTCAACCGCCCAGAACCTGTGAATGTGACCTTATTTGGAAATACAGTCTTTGTAAGTTAAGATGAGGTCTTCAGGGTTGCCCCTAATCCAGTATGACTGTGTCCTTATACAAAGCGGAAATCTGAACACAGACACACGCACACACGCATAGGGAAAACACCATGCGAACCTGAAGGCGGAGCCTGGGGTGATGTATCTACAAGCCAAGGAATGCGAAAGATGGCCAGCAAACCACCAGAAGCCAGGAAAAGGCATGGAACAGATTTGCCTTCCCAACACTCAGAAGGAACCAACCCTGCCTACACCTTGACCTTGCACTTCTGGCATCCAGAACTATGAGAAAATTAATTCCTTTTGTTTAAGCCGCCCAGCCTGTGGGCCTTTGTTAGAGCAGCCCTAGGATACTGACCGTCCTTCTTGTTAGCCGCCCACGACACCACGCCCTCGGTTCCCCTACAGTCTCATGGCCCCTCCTCCTCCTCTAAATGTGGGCCTGCATCAGAGCTCAGTCACCTGTCTTTTCTTCCTTAGCCTCTCCAGTCTAGGTGAGCTCATCCAGATGCACGGCATTCAATGCCAGCTCAAGCTGATGACTCCGCATCTAAACTCCAGACTGGCCCCCACCTGGGGCTTTGGACTCCGTTCTCCTGCTTCTCCACTCAGATGTCCAGACATGTCAAATTTATCATGATCCAAACAGAACTCTTAATTCCGATTCACCAAGCTCACCTTTCCCGTCCCATAAGGCTCCCATGGTCCTCTTTACCCATTTGCCAAGGCTCTAAACTTAGGAGTCACCTTCAGCCCCTCTTTTCCTCAACCGTGTACCCAATCCATCAGCAAACCCTGTCCGCCCTACTCAGCTACTTTTCACCAATGCTGCCATCATGTCCCTCCTAGCCCACTGCTTCCATTCTTGCTTCAAACAGCAGCTAGAAAGAGCTTTCAAAATGTAAATTAAGAGCACTGTAATCCCTTTCTCAAAATCTTGTATTTTTGTTTTGTTTGGAGTGGGGTAGGTAATTAGGTTTTTATTTATCCATTTATTTTTTAAGGGAGGTACTGAGGATTGAACCCAGGACCCCATGCATGCCAGGCTTGCGCTCTACCACTGAGCTACACCCTCCCCCTGCTTTTCTCAAACCCTGTAGCAGTATCCCCATCACCCTAAAAATAAAACCCAGAGTCCTGATTGACTTTAAGACTCAGTTCAAACACCCATCCCCCCCACCTTGCCCCTCCCTTTCCCACCTGTTCTTGAGACCCAGCACTGTCATCATTTGTTTCCAAGTCTGCCTCCCTAGCTGGGCTCTGAGTTCCCTGAGGACAGGATCCACACGTTTGTTATTTTAGTGGCCACAGTGCCTGGTACCCACGTGACCCAAGCCCTTAGCATGGTTGATAGACACTTTAGACAAGTCACCCAGTGGCCAGAATTACCCCGGAACGTAAAATGCTGCCTCATTTCAACCTTTCAAGTCCAATATAACTTTTAGCTCCCAAACGCTAACAAGTCCGGTTACTTCATTTTTGCCACCTCCCTTTGAACTCGGAAAACCCAGCCTCCAGGGCTTCCTTTGTTTCTCTTCTCCCTGGGCATCCCCTTCCCGCCCCCTCCCCAGCTCTCTCATTCCCACTCCCTCAGGGTGGTTCAGATTTCTACCCCATTTGGCCAAGAAATTTCCTTAACTAAGACTCTTGCCAGATTCAACTTCTAACTTTTAAAAGGTCCACTGGGGCTTGCCTAGAACGGCAGCAGCACCTCAAGATCCTTTAGAAACACAGCAGGTAGGTTTCACTTCCTGCTGTTACAACTGAAAGTCCCCTGCAAGCCCCACAAAACCCCCCAGCAGGAAATATGTCTCCGCACTGGGAGTTTTGAAAGCTTCTGGGTAAAATGCTTCAACAAGGGTCGCATGGCCCCCAGCTTCCACTTGGGGTTCAACTCTGAGCTCAGGCTCTGCTCCAACAACGTGACCGTTGGTGCGGCGTCTCAGGGCTTGTTTCCTCTTTGCTTGAAACGGGGTTGGTTAAATAATTCTAGGCAGTAAACGTCTTAACTCCGGAGGCCTAGCTTCATTTATCCTTGCAACCCTCAGCCAGGTACCAGGTCCAAGGGCTGTATCCTTTGTGAACGGAGGCAGGCCACCGGGTAGCTCTGGTGAGCACAACGAATGTTTGTTGTCAGACCTAGCGAATGAGCCATATCAACTTCCCAGCACAGCTGTAATGAAAAATCACATCGTGTATATTAAAAAAAACACTCTAAATAACTGTGTTACACCAACTGAAAGGACTGCATTAAACATTGCCTGGGAGGATTGGCACCGGTTTGGAGTCGAACAAACCTGGATTCAAATTCTAGAGCCAAGGCTGACTTACTGTGCCCATAGGCAAATTCCTCCATCCCTCTGGGCTTCAGTTTCTTCACCTGTAAAATGGGGCTAATACTCCTCACCTGATCAAACTGCTGGGAGGCACAGTTTAGCTGATAAATGCCCAGTGCGCTGCAGCTGTCAGGGTAAAAGTTACCACCTGTAAAACCACTACTATCATTATTTTCAGCCTGTATATCAGATGTTTTAATCAAAACATGTAAACAACAAGTCTTGAAAATGACAGCTTCGTTTTTCTAAATGTCATTTATTAGAAAATACAATTCCAAAGTAGGAGATACAAGGACGTCTGGGAAGTGGGTACAGTCACAGACCTCTTTAAATTCTGGGCGTAGAGGGTCAAAGTAAGATGAGCCACCGGCAAAAGCCAGTAACACATCTCTGGTCCATTCATCTGGAGAAGTTCCACCCCTGTTCCCACTCCCCCAGCCCTTGCCCACAGCAGCCAGCTTTATCCTTGGCATTTTTAATTTAAAAGAAAAGTTGAAACTTCCCTGTGGCTTCGAGTGGAGCTTCTTTCTCCAGTTATGGAATGAGTCAGCAAAAAGGGGGATTTCTGATCCTCAGAGCTGGGGAGGGACAGCCCACAGAGCATCCCCGTTTAACTCCATTCCCCGGTCACTGGGCACAGCCAGCCAATTTAAAAGGTTAGTAGCAAATTCAAAGTCTCTCCCTCTTTCTTCAAGGAAGACAACCCTTTGGAGTGAAGCACAAGAGGGAATTTCAGGTCCATCTGGGCGGGAATAAAGAGGTTAGGAGAGCAGAGATCCGGTCCCCTCTTCCAGCTCGGCTCCATCCAGCCTCCTCCCAACCAAAGAAAACCGCTGGAAAAAACAACCATTTTGATGGGATCCCCTGCCCCGCATCCCTTTCATTCAGTTAAGGGCATCCCTTTGGCTCCAGACTAAATAAGTTCATGGCCCCACACAATGAGAGAAATTCTTACAAAAATGTGACAGAAATGGAGTTAGGGAGAGAAGCAGCAAAATGAAAGGAGTGGCGGGTGACAGAAGTGTCCCAGAAGCCACCGAGCAGGCGGCCACGCTAGCATCTGCAGCCTGGAGGCCCTGGGGTGAAACCCAATCTAAGGGCCGGGGCAGCATTTTATCCCACCAGGGAGAACTGAAGGGAGAGACCTGGGGGGAGCACCCCAGCATATCAACAAGGAATGGGGAGCACCCCAGCATGTCGACAGGGACCAGATGGCCCCCAGAAGGGCTGAGAAAATGGGGGGTGGGAGCAGAAGACAGTGTTCAGGGCAAGTCCTAGCAAAGTAGGGGAAGACGAGAGGACAAACTCCCCCAAAAGAGCACGGGTCCCTGAACACAGGTCCTCCGCAGAACCCCGTGTGGAAGACCCCTCCTGACACACGTGGGCACCACATCGCTCTCCTTTGGAGGCAAAATCAGAATGGCCCAGCCGCGCAGGCCTCAGTCCGGCACATGCAGCCCTCCCTGTCCCTCTCTACCTGCCTCAGAGAGGGGGGGCTCTCCCCGAGGGCCCACTGGGCCCCTCCCCAAATAATTCCTACAGAGAGAGAAACAGAAACAAAACACAAACAAAAACCCGGAGAAGAGTCCAGCAAGAACCTCAATCATACAGAAAGTCCGAACGGTCTTCCTCCTTTGCCTTCCAAGGCATATGTAGTCCCTTCTCACAAGGCTGCCTGTCCGGTTAGGACAACAGTTACTATTTCATTTTTTAAAAATAAAAATAAAGATACCCACCCACCCTGTCCCCCAAATGCTACTTCATATAGCCCACCCCACACACCCCAAACCAGGCATTGCTCCCTTGACACAAGGTAAACTTAAAACTTTGCTGCAACCTCACAGCCTCCAAGGGGCTGCTCATCACAACCAACCCAAACTCAGTCTGCAGAGGAGGGGCGAGCAGAGCATCTGACTCCCCCTGCCTCCTACCACGGGAGGCCCGATCCGCCGGGACAGCAGGGAGGCCCCATGAAGGGCCCTGCCCTTCCAAAGGAAAGCAGGGAGAGTCCTCTCTCCCAGCTCTACCACAAGCCCGGGGTCCTGGGCCAGGGCTCCACCGGGCTCATAAGGTCTCGTGACTTCGAGATCCCAGTGCAAACCAGCCGGTCTTCTCCTGGGCCAGGTCCAGCTCTCGCAGGCGGATGTGCACCTCCCCCAGGAGAACATTCTCCCAGAATCCTTGCTCACTCAGCACACTCAGCTGTAGCTCCCGCTGCTGCAGGTCTCCCTTGGGGATCCCATCATACACCAGCTGCAAAGGCAAAATGGGGAAGAGAGGGGAGCGGTGAGAGAGGGAACTTGAAGAATCCAGGGGGAGCAGGGAAGGGTGTCGTGGTGTGAGCTGGCTGAGGCTAAGATCACCTGACCTCCCCAGCCAGACAGAAGCCGAGGGAAGCTCTAAGGAACAAAGACAAATGACGGCTTGTCGCTGGGGCCACTGCTCCTCCTCCCAAGGCCACACCCCAGGGCTGGAGTCCCTACCCTAAGTGTCAGCAAACTTTTTTTACATAAAGGGCCAGATAAGAAATGTTTTAGGCTTTATAGGCCGTAAAGTCTGGTCTATGTCAAGACCACTCACCCCAGCCGCTGCAATATGACAGCAGCTGCAGACAAGACTTAAATGAATCGGTGTGGCCACGACCCCATATTTACAAAAACAGGCATAGTTTGCCGGCCCCAGCCCAACGCCAGCACCCTCCCCACACACCATCTCATTGTAGGTGGGGTTGCAGGTTTTCCGGGCCACTTTGGTTTTCTTCTTAGTGGTTTTCTGAGGGTCAGGAAGGAGGTAAATCTTGACATAGGGGTCAGGGTCATTCCCATCCTGGAGCAGTTGCTACGAAGGGAATGAAAACCAAAAACAAAAGATGAAGATACTTCCGTCTGTCCCTTTATCACCATTCCTGTGATCGCCCTGAGCCAGACCCTCTTCTCCCACACCCAGCTTCCTGCAACTCACAGTAACTTGTTTCCCACCCCCTCCACCCTGACAGAAGCACCCACCGTGATGGCACTAGGGGCCCTACTAAAACGTCCGTCAGACCGTCTGTCATGTCCCGTCTGCACTTGGTATGAGAACACACAGGGCATTCTAAAGTGATTACTTGGTCTGTTTTGAATGAACCATCATGTCCCCAGATATTTTTGCCTTTTTAGTCTTTGTCTTTTTTGTCATTTGCTCCAAGTAATCCCGAAGAGAAATGAGTCAGAGAGATTAAACTGCTTTTTCAAGATCAGCCAATCAGTGATTCACCCAGCCTGATGCTTGTAACACTTAAGTCAGATCTTGTCAAGCCTCTGCTCAGAATCCTCCAATGGCTCCCTCCCACCTCACTCAGGGCAAAGCCGCAGGCCTGGCCGCAGGACGCAGGCTCTGGTCCGCCGTGTCCTGTCCAACCGCACCATTCACTACTCTCCCCTTCACTCCAGGGGCTTCAGCCACGTTGGCCTCCTCCCGCACTTCCTGACATGCCCCAGGCAGGCTCCCGACTAGGGCTTTTGGATTAAACTGCTGCTTCTGCCTGGAACAGTCCTCCCTCAGACATATGTCTGTGACTTCCTCCCTCACCTCCTTCCACCTTTGCTCCAATACCTCCTCCTCAATGCGGGCTTCCCTGGCCCCTCTGCAAAACTGCCACTACCCTCATCCTCTCCAGTATCCCTTCTCTGCCTTATTCTCACCAGAGCAATTACCACTCTCTGACTTGCTATATATTCTACTTATCTGTCTGTCCACCTCCTCCTCCTAGAAGGTAAGCTCCCTGAGGGCAGGGATTTTGTTTTGTTTACCCTTGAATCCACAGCTAATGTATCAGGGCCTGGCATGGAGCAGGCAGCTGATGAACATTTGTTGAATGAAAGGAATGAATGATGGTGTAAGAGTGAAACCCTGGTGTCTGATTTCAAAGCTCACGTACCTCCTGCCACATACCAAAGCCCCAACCTACAAAAGTCCAGCACATTGAAGGTGTTCATTAAGAGTTCCCTTCCCCTTCCACTCACAATGTTCTTAGAATCGTACCAAAAATTTAGTTAATTACACACTGCCTTGATGATGCTTGAAGGACATTTGGCTGCCTTATCTCTATAACCACCAGGAAATAAACCCTTTGGGCCTCTCCTTATAATAATCACCATAATAATAATGCCAGGTACTATATTAAAGTCTTCTACATGCTTTATCCATTATCTCATGAAACCCCCATAACAACCCTATCAGATGCTAACGTCATCTTCACCTTAATGAGGCTAAGGGTAAATGGGCTAGTTGCCAAGGCCACAGGTAGTAAGAAGCTGTGTCTAGCATTGCTTGGTCATACTGTAGGCCTAGCATGGGAGCACGGCCACTGAGTACTCGTTCAGCAGCCTTTGTGGTTGCTCTCATGAGACGCCTCAGAAAAGGTCTGGCCAGTCAGAAAAGTACCAGAAGAAAGATAAAGATCCAAATGAGGGCTGTGTGCACTTACCAAGCCCCGAATATGCATCACCATGATGAAGAGTTTATTGTTTTTGTAGGAGATGGACAGCTTCACCTCTCCCCCAACCTTCCCAACCGGCCGGGCCCATGAGCCATCTGTAAGGATAAAGGAAACCAAGAAAGGTCATGAGGCCAGCCCTGACCCCACCTGGTGGCAGGCAGATGCTTCTGTTTTCCTCTGACCTGCCATGAGTATTTCCACGTCAGGTTCTTAGAATCCCATCCGGGACCCGCCAGGTGGCCCCTGCTAACAAGACTCAGAGTTGGGGTGGGATGGTCTGTCCAATGTGAGTGTGTTAGCACCAATGGAATATCCAGTCCCCGGGGAACCCGCACAGGAGCTACGGCCCCAACAGCCTGAGTGGGAAACCAGATTCTCTAGCCAGTAAGCAAAGGAACAGAGACAAGTCGAAGAAAGAGAACTGGGAAGAGGCGAGGGCAGGAAAAGTCACCTTTGGGGGTGGTTCAGAGAGGTCAGCAGAAATACCACCGAGAAGGCACCATACCTGAGGGCGTGGGGGCTGGGCTGGTGCCCGCAGCCTTCTCATCCCGGGGTAGAGGGTGGAAAAAGGTGTACACCAACTCACACTGCAACGGGATCAGGAAACAGGGTCACTCCTCAGTAAGACAAGGGCCCAGTAAAAAAGGGAAGGGACACTTCTCCATTAAAACAGACGTATGGAATGTGACAACCAAATGTTAATATGCAGTTCTTATTTGAATCACAGCTCAAAAAAACCCAAGTGTTAAAAGAATTTGGGGGGTGGCAGGGAAATTCTGAATATGGACTATGTATTGGGTGATACAATGACACTGTATTTATGTAGGATTATGTCCTTGTAGACACACATTACTGTATGTAACACAGATAACCAACAAGGACTTGCTGTATAACGGAAAAGGTTCCAAAAAGAAAACACATATGTATAATCACTTTGCTATACACCTGAAACTAACATTGTAAATCAACTACACTTCAATAAAAAAAAATGTTTTTAAGTTAAAAAAATTTTTTTCCTTGTTTTTTAGCAATGCATAGTAAGTATTTGGGGGTAGAATGTCATGATGTCTGTGATTTACTTTTAAACATTTCATATAAAAATACATGAAGCAAATATGGCAAAATATTAAACTGTTTATTTAGGTGACGGATGTATACTCATTATACTGTTTATTTTTCTGTATGTTTGAAAGTCTCATAATAAAAAAGTTAAAAAAAAAGAAAAAGCCAATAAAAGTCGGTCACATCAGGTCAAAAGCGGGCTGTTCTTTTCCACGACTCCCTCCCCTGCTGACGCAAGCATACCCCTTACACACAGAGAAATGCCTGGGCTACCCTTGGACAAAGACCATGAACCCTACTTTCAAGAATGTTTCCTAGGCAATTAGGGAAAACAAAAACCAAATCTACAATGTGTGAAGATACCCACTCTAGCATTAATAGCGAAAAAAAGGGGACATAATTTGAATGTCTTTCAAGAAGCGAATGGTTAAGGTTATGGGATTGCAAGTCAGTGCGCTAATCTGGTACAGACATTAAAAGTTGTGCTTACTATAGACATTTAAGTGAAAAAAAAACCAGAATATGGAATTACATTTAAGCTATGACCACTACAAAGCTGTAAAAGTTACATTTATAGATGGACATATAGAAGGAAATGTGGAAATAGGGTTAGATGATTTGTTAGGATGACGAGAGATGCCTACATTTGTTTTTATTCCCATTATAATACCAGGTTATAATATTTATTTAACGGGGGGGACAGGGAAGCTAGGTGGATACACATACTCAACCAGCTCAAAAACCTTCCTTTCCTCCAGAACCCCTCTCTTCCTCAGGCTCTTTCTTGTTCACAACAAGCACTCTGGGATGGCACCCAAAGGGCACGTCTCTCCCTGTGCCCGGCTGCGCAGTGCGTTTCACTGCGTTTCTGGGCACAGCCCATGGGGCTGGAGCCACGATTCACCCACCTCCTCCTCCGCACCGTCGGACAGACAAGTCTCCTCTCTGATTGCCCCACCCCCACATCAGAGCCAGAACAGACACAGCCCACCGACCTCGGCCACCTCGGGGGCTGCGTGGATCAGGTGCCAGATGTAGCCGTTCAACTCCTCCCTCCGCCGCTCCGCCACCGCCTCTCCCCGCGGGCGGCCGATCACGAAGCGACTAGGGAAGCTGGGGACAGGTGGGCGGTGGGGACGGAGGAGCGGGAAGATGGCGAAAGAAAAATAAAGAGGCAACAACAGGCTTTAGTCACATGTCCCTTGTGTTTTCAGTCACCTGCCCCACATTTCCCACCAGCCTCCCTTCCAGGGACCTTTCCCCCAGTCCACACCTCCCCCAGCTCCCCAGGTCTGTGCCAAGGACACACGCGCAGCATCTCCCACGGGACAAGTTCCAAGGACACCGGGCAAGAAAAACAAACTGTTGGGCCCCCCAGAAGTGCCTCAGGGGCTCTGGAGCCCCCAGTTTTCCCCATCAAGGTAAAACTTCATTAGAAAAGTCGTTTTTAAAAAAATTGTTGTGAAAGACACATAACATAAAAATTACCATCTTAACCATTTTTAATTGTGCAATTCAGAATTAAGTACATTCACACTGTTGTGCAACCATCACCACCAATCACCTCCAGAAAGCTTTCCACCTTGCAAAAGTGAAATTCTACACCCATTATATAACTCCTGATTTGCTTCCTCCCCCTGGCAACATTCTTCTACTTTCTGTTTCTATGAATTTGACTATTCTGAGTACTTCATGTAAGTGGACTCATACAGTATTTGTCTTTTGTGGACTGACATTTCACTTAGTATAATATCCCCAATCCATGTTGTAGCATGTGCCAGAATTTCCTCTTTTTAAGACTTAATAATATTCCATTTTGTATATACACCACATTTTGCTTATCTACTTGAAAAATACTTCAACTCTTTGGAAGATTAGAAACTTTGGAATATCTTGAGATTCAATCGACCCTCTGCCTTTAGACCCAGTTTGCTCCCCTGGGCAGTGGGCCAAGCAAATTTTCAAGGCTGGAGTAAAACCCCTTGAGAGTGTCAGAAGAGCATGGCCACCAGGGGGAGCACTTGCCATCAAACTCCTTGGCCAGGCCAAGGAAACCAAGGACTTAGACCTTTACTCTAAAAGGGTAGTAGTTTTCTCACTTCTGCAGCCCCCCTCCACCCCCTCGCCCAGCCCCCTTCCACACTCCCTCCCCAGGACCCCTCAGCACAGAGAGTAAAGGGAGCAGCTACCTGGGCAAGAGGGAAGAAGGGAAGAGAAGCCGCAGCTTATTGTGTAATTCCTGGAACTCCTCAAACGTCCGCTGGATGTAAGTGGCCTCATGAGCATTCTCTCGCATCACCTTTACCACATAAATCTGCAAAGGTTCAAGCCTCAGAGAACACTCCCTGCCAAACCCTCTCCACCCAATGAAGTAGGTGAGGGAACAGAG